AAGCTGAAGTGAAATGAATCAAAACAAATACGGCAAGGCAAGACAAAAATTAACAGCGCCAAATGTTGAAATTAATAAAACCATTGGCTATGATCGTAAGAGAGTGTCTCGTGGTTCTTGCCATTTTGCGTTCATCCCCGGAGCCTAAGACCGGGTCTGATTCCTTTCTCTCGTGGACTAGAAGCTTCCTTCACACATACCTAGCATCGCTTGGCCTTCATCATGCGACATACCATCGTCGACATACCATCGTCTCAACTCTGCACTAGTCCCTAATCTCTAACTCAACCACCATCACCATCGTTTCCAAATCCTCCGAAACTTCTAGACAAACTATGCTTCACCACCTGTCTCATAATGTGTTCCCTCTCTTGACCCTTGATACGCACGCCTAACGACCTTACTCGAGTAGAACCATACGACTCTTTGACCACATCCTATCTAACATATGTGGAACCTTTCGTGCCACACCAGGGAGATGGAAGCTTCACGAATTTCAACAGAAATGGTGTCAGCCAAATTGCAATTGGGGGGTTGGAAGAGAAACTAATAGATAGGATGAATATTAATCATCATATCACAAGCTCAATCATAGTTCGGGCCAAGGACATCGGGTGGCGCTGCTATCTAGCCGTCCAAGTTGGGTGGGAGCACGATCGGAAGCCCCAAGCCGTATCAATATGCATACCTGTCCACGGGCGTAAAGAAGAAGTGGGCGTGTATGAGGCACGGTGACTCTGTCCAGCTCAAGGAATTTCAATATATTTTGGTGTTGCGGTGTTTTTGGAAGGGGTTTTTGCTCCGCACACTATAGCGGGGCTTAGATTCTCCAATCGAAGGCTGGGATTCCCGTAGCTAGAGTGCCCCTCTAGTTAGTTTATTCAGAAGTATCAGGCATCTCGGGGGATAGTAAAAACTGTAGCCGGAGGGAGTATTTCACACGGCAGTTCGGATAGGGGCAGGACAGTACGAACCTAAAATATATAGGTTAGTAAGAAGAAATCCAGAGAAATATATTTCCTAAGCTAGGGATCGTGGGGAAGGCCACGCCTTTTTACAGTGAGAGAGCGCTTTTAAGAGGGGGTTGATGATGACCAGCGATTGAGGAATCGGTCCATCAGCTATCGGACGGCGCCAAGGCTAGGAGGATCTTAGCGCACATGATGGAGTTTCTCTACTTAATGTATATTAACGACCCAGAAAAGGTGAAGTGGCTTCTGGGACCACTCGGCCCGCGGCTGCCACGGTGTGGCGCTGGTTTCACAAAACTCATCAAGGATGGTCAGGCCTACAGTGGTGCCCATCTCCCACACTTGGCAATGGTGACCCCGCTTTCCTTCCACTCTCACGAATTCAATCTCCCAACGCCACCATATCACACCAACCTATCCTCCAACTTTATAGCAGTCCGAAGAGCGAAGTACAGAAAAAATGTCTCGAGATCCCAATTTTGTTGGCCAGCTTCTCCCTAATACCGATTCCTCGGGACATGATAACTCTCCTAATACCACCAGATCTCTAAATCGTAACGCAAACTTCCTTAACAACAACAACTGTTTCAACACTAATAACAACATTACCGTCAACGATGACCGGTCTGAAATCCTAACATGGTTGTCTCCCCTCGAGCCTAGCTTACGGCATGACGACGTCAAAATGCGCCGGGTTGACAATGTTGGAGACTGGATTCTGCGGACAGAGGAATTCCAAAGCTGGCAGAGTGCTGGTGTTCAGGATGAATCGCAGAAGGCAACTATATTTTGCTACGGAAATCCGGGGGTTGGCAAAACCCACATAAGGTAAGAGACTCCGAAGAGAATAGAAACAGGTTCTTCATTCTGACAAGCCGCTATTTTAGCTCTCTAGTAATAGATACCCTGTGCGATGCGGCCAGCAATGCCGGAGACGAAAATGTGGCTATAGCATGCTTCTACTTCGACTTTGCCGTCCAAAAAGAGCAGTCCGCGACAAGCATCTTAGGCGCGCTTCTAAAGCAGGTTGTCAGCGGTTTTGACCAAATTCCCAAGGAAATAATGGATCCGTTTAAGAAGCATAAAAAAGCCATAGGTGGCCGGAGACTAGGGATTTCTGAGATCGTGAAGCTTTTGGGAAGCCTCTCGTCTACCCGGCCCACGTTTTTCTGCCTCGACGCGATGGACGAATGTGCAGAAGCGGATCGAGCTAAAATCCTTCTTTCACTACGGGACATTACCCTAATTTCCCCAACTATACGAGTGTTCATAACCGGGAGACCGCATCTCCGTGTTGAGGTCGAAAGGCATCTCCCTGGGGGGGTCGTATCTATGTTGATAAGTCCACGAACGGATGACATTTTTCGATACATCCATACAAAACTCCTGGAAGATACAGCCTCTGATGAGATGGACGAGACGCTGGAGCAAGAAATTGTGAAGAAAATTCCGGAAAGTGTCTCAGAGATGTAAGAAGGGCCAGCTAGATGGGGAATCCTGGTCAGTGGATCGGCTGACATATATCTCTAGATTTCTGCTAGTCTCCTTGAATCTCGACGCAATTTTGCAGGAGACGACCATTCGCGGCCGACGGGAAAGGCTCAGGGTAATGACGGATGGGTCAGGGTTGGAAGATGCCTACGGTGCAACATTAGATCGGATCAAGGCACAGGGGGTCAGAAATCAAGACTTGCCATGACTGCCCTGATGTGGATATGCTATTCGGAGCGGCCGCTGAGACCGGAAGAGCTGTGTTACGCCCTGGCGGTGGAAATAGGATCGTCTGATTTTGATCCGGACAATGTTCCCTCGATACGGACCGTGCTAAGTTGCTGCCAAGGACTGGTGGTTGCGGATAAGGAGGGGTCAACTGTCCGATTGATACACTACACATTACAAGAGTACCTAACCGGTCATTCCGACATTTTCCAGAGCCCTCACTCAGCAATCGCGGAGACCTGCTTGACATCTCTGAATTCGCAGCAGGTAATAGCCCTTTCCGCCACGCACCCTCAGAGCTCTCAACCGATACCCTTCCTCGAATATTCTGCCTTATACTGGGGAACCCACATGAAAAAGGAACCCTCTGATCGCGGTAAAATTCTTGCACTAAAGCTCTTTACCCACTACGAATGCCATGCATCAATTAAGATACTCTTAGAGCACACACTCGGACACCCCCTCCAGGAGGCAGACTTCCACAAGTTTACGGGGCTACATTGTTCGTGTATCTTTGGGCTTGCTGAGCTTACGGGGGCTTTGATAGAGATGGGTGGTGCTGATGTAAACGGCGTGGATGATTTTGGTGCTACGCCGCTCATATGGGCCGCTAGGTGTGGGCATGAGAGAGTGGTGAAGCAGTTACTGGAACAGGAAGACGTTATCCCCGATAGGCCAGGAAAGGATGGCCAAACAGCAATCTCGTGGGCGGCCAAATGTGGACATGAGGCAGTAGTAGAACTGTTACTAGGCCAGGGAAACGTCAATCCCGATAAGTCAGACTGCTACGGCCAAACGCCAATCTCTTTGGCTGCGGAAAATGGACATGAGGCAGTGGTTAAGCTATTACTAGGAAGGGAAGACGTCGACTCCGATAGGCCAAGCCACATTAGCAGGGCGCCAATATCGTGGGCCGCTAAGTGTGGACATGAGGCAGTGGTGGAGCTGTTGCTTGGGCAGGTAAACGTCAATCCCGATAGGCCAGACTACTGGGGGCAAACACCAATCTTGCTGGCTGCCAGGGATGGACACGAGGCGGTGATTAAACTTCTACTAGGGCGGGAAGACGTCAGCGCCGATAAGCCAGACGACGGTCACCGAACACCGATCTCGCACGCCGCTGAGTATGGATATGAGGCCTCGGTGAAGCTGTTACTGGGGCGGGGGGACGCCAACCCCAATAGGCCGGACCGCTACCGCCGGACACCAATTTCGTGGGCTGCCCAGAACGGACATGAGGCAGTAGTGCAGCTGCTACTGGAGCAAGAAGACGTTGACCCCCATACGCAAGACAGGTACGGCCGGTCACCACTCTGGTGGGCTTCTGGGGATGGACATGAGAAAGTGGTAGAGCTACTGCAATCGCGGAAAGCCGGCGACAGCAACAAGCCGGACACCGAGGCCCTACCGCACCCTCGTCAGCCGCAATTGGGTGGTGTGAGTCTGTCGTCAATTAACAAAGGACCCGAAAGCCCTACCCGCACTGCCGATTAAGCTCAAGCAATGCAATGCTTGGGTGGATGTGGAGTCTTATGTTCCCGGATTGAAGATGGGGCGCGAATTTTGGCCTAATTTGTTATGATATCTCGCTATGTAGGGGGCTTCTAGCTAGGATAGACTTTGCTTTCAAAAAATTTATTCTCGTTCTCTACACCCTCACCATCCCTCTCTTTCCCCTCCCACCCGTTCTGTGAATATAGGTGCCCATCAGACGCCAAGTACTCATACACAGAACACTTAACGTAGTGGGAGAACCAAAACTACGATAAGGGCTCCTATTCTTGCTGATAAGGAACTCCCTTGTCCAATATCTCTAAATGTGCTGCTGCAATGATTGCCCATCCAAAAAAAAACTTTAGCATCATTGATTCCCACAATCCCACACGAGGGAGCATTTGGTTACGCCGGAAAGACCGCAACGAAACTAGGGAAACACAATGAACAAAGTGTCGAGGAGGTGCGCGCACGATAGATCGAGACGAAGGTGCTTTGTGTGAGGAGGATGTGAAGAGAAGAGAGTTCGTTCTATTCTAATGAATGGATGCTACCTGTGAGCTGTTTATACAGACAAAACCACAGATGGGACTCAGCCCCAACTGAATACGTACACACACACACAATAATTTACTTGTTGACCCAAACCATTGCACATATGGTTCCGCCGCCCATACATCAACATCTCCAGGTATTCAGACATACACAATCACACATCTTCTCATGTGCTCCCCCAGACAAGCAATATACTACCAGGATTATCATTCCGTCAGAAATTACCCGATTGGGTAAGGATCTCTTGTGCGAATACGAAAAATGTCGAGGGGGGGGTCTCTTTGGGGTGTGGCAATTCGGAAAAATGGTTGGTTGGTCTCGGCCCTTCACGAAGTTTTGTAGCAGATTCACACTATTTTTATTATTTATTTTTATTTTCCCTCCTAACCAACGCTGTCCAGGCTAGCCTTCTTGCAAGTGCGATGGTTGATCGTCTACCTGGCTATTGAACTCGCGGAATTGATTAGTGGCTAAGCGATTAAGGTAGTAGGTTCGTCTAGTCCTTCCTATCCATGCGAAATAGTCTACACTGGGAAACTTAAGAAGGTGATGGTTGGGGTGGCTGGTAGCGTCACACAGAGCCGCACAAGTGCCGTGGCTGATACCGGCACGGTACATACTTCATTTTGTGGTCGGCTATCAACATCTCCCCATGTTCCCCTGCAACAACACCCGCTGAACAGCTTGAACCATTTCCTTCCCCCAAAATAACCCAGCACCCGGCCCGCCCCAACTTATACCCCACCCTCGGTCAGCGCTGGAAATCTAAAGCTCACATTAGCCTTTACCGCATACCCCCCTAGGCATCGCCCTAAGCGAGAACCATGCCAGTGCAATCCCCATGGCGAGGCGGCTGCGACACAAGCCACGCTTGCTACTACGCTAACCGAGGCGAAGAGGGAGAATGAGAAGCAAGACGCGAAGTTGAGAAAGAGGGGGACGTTAGAGGAAATGAACAAGATACTAATGGCTCAGACTCAACAGACAAAGCCGGTAATTTCATTCGCGATCGTAAAGGAGGATGAGAGGAGTGCCCATGGTCAGGAAAAGCGTAGAGGGGGAAGAGGGCGTGCAATAGAGGGGAAGGATAGGTGAGCCGAGAGTGGGCGTAGCGGCCCATGTAACAGGAATGGTGCAGTTGAGAGAGCCAGAGGAAGAGGCATTCGACCTGCCACCACGAGATTTACACCAAGTGGCGGTTTCGGAGCACGAGGGGCTAGGTCACGGCTTGCAGTTACTTCCTACAGACGGTATTGTAGAGGGGGCAGGATTACTAGTTAGTCTATGCCCAAGGTGAGGAGAGGAAGGAAGCAGGTCATTGGGAGCCACCAAGCGGGGAGGATATTTAGGAGGTGAAACAACTGTGTCTGGTGTTTGGAGTTATGGATGGATGAACAGGAGTTTGTTGCACTAATATATTACCATAGTATCGTTTCGTAGAGTCGGATTGGAACTCAAGACATCTGAGCCGACGATGAGAGCGTACCGTACTCGAATACTGGAGTACAGTACTTTACTCCCAGTTGCTACTCTTTAAACGAATCCCGAGAGGTGATTGGGCAGACCCTACTACCGTAGTACTAATCCGACTCTTACGAGGCGATACTCAATTGAGAATACTACTTGTATAATACCGGGACACTCAGCATAGCTCCAGATGACCAAGTGGGCCGGCAAACGGCATTGAAAGGAATCATAAGATATCGCCCTCTAGTCTATCCCCGTGCCATCTTCAGGACCTTGGACATCGGCTAACTAAATTACCGGCCATTCTGGCTCACTAGTACATTCTCAGCCCCCAGCCACGAGCTTGAAACCCTTACTAGGCTCAATTTCACTTGCTGTAATACTTGTATGATACGCTACCTCCGAGTCCTACCCCAACTCCAAACACTCTCACTTTACCCAATTTCCCAAGCTAGTTTATCTTTATAAATTAACAGCAGCCCCCCTCCACAATGTGGCCAGATTGATGAAGCAACTTGAAACCCTAGTCCCACCAAAGGGGTACGCAGGGTGGAGAGTGACCGGGTCATAGAGTGTCTCTATTTTGAAAGTGTTGAGTAGATAAAGAGATATAATTCATATTGCATATCCCATCCAATGCACATCATAGCAAAGGTATCTTCAGCTGAACTGGTCTACTAGAAAGTCATAAATAGAACCAAACTTTTCCCTATGAGAGCATCTTCCCGCTACACTCCTTCCGAGCTCAAGGGCTTCGTTTCCAGAATTATGATATATCTTTTTCTTCTTTCACATGGTATACTATAATGCAATATGCTACTTTACTGTACGCTACAGTACCAGTTGCAGTAAAGTTATTGGATACTCCCAGCTGTCCGAGTCCCATATTCTATCCATCAATTATCGTTCAGGGAATATACCGGGAAGAGCTAGATCTGGAATTAGGACCACGCAGGATTCTGATAACAACTAAAAATTCATACCCCACATACTTGGGGATCGCTGAACTCCAGAGATGGTGGTATAAAAAAGCTATCGAAAACCTCCTGTCTTCTAGCATTGCTTGTTACTCTTACCGTAGGCCCGAGGGGGCGAGGCAAGCCCCAGAAACTACCTTCTCTTAAGAATATGGGAAATCAATTGCTATATGAATTAGAGGAAAACTCTGTAGTTATTGATAGATATTTATAGCCTATGACCTTTGAGTTGGAGTGTTTCTCTGAGGCCTGGGTATGTTATCCAAGAGTGTACTATGATGGTATTCACAATCCACATTTGATGCTGCACAAGTCTACCGTTTTGCTAATATTGGGACTTTGGTAGGTCATTGAGGGCAGGGAGGGGGGGGGGGGGGGGCAGGTGGTGGAAACGGTAGAAGGGATACCAGTTACTACTGGAATCTGGAATGTCTTACTGAGTAATAATAGATAAAAGGACGTATGGTGAATGCCGTCTAGATACAGCACCAAGTGGGATGCAACGGGGGACACTTCACCCTTAAATTTGGCCTAATACCTGGAGGTTTAGGTTTAAATTCCTAGGGTACCGGTACTTGATATATTTTCTCTTATTACAATACCATACTCATCATTTTGATTATGTCAGACTATTTTTAGTAGATTAATTAACCCTAGGTACTCGAGTACACTACCGGTATTTTCCTACCCTATATTTGCCGAGGCGTCCCCCATTGCATCACCTGTTGCATCACCCGTTGCCTCCCCCGTTGCCTGCACGGTAGTGTTGCCCGCTTCTTAACAGAGGTCTCATCTTCAGGGGCGCAGCTCTGATCCTACTCGCACGATTGAGGGGCATAGCGAAGTTACTCCTTGAATTGAAGCATCAAAAGTGCCGAGTACGGTATGTTGGGTGATATCGTGGTCGGGGGGTGGTCTGGGGGAGGTGATTTACGCAAAGGTGTTAAAAGGGGCCGTGGGGCATAATCACCGTTTCTATGAGGCTTAGAGGCTGTAAACTAAGAGAGATCCTCGCTATGCGCGTGATCAGAAGCTAGTGGTTTGGTATTTGCGAGGGCGAATTAAGTTAATATTAATGACAATTTTTCGCGTGAGGTACTGAGATTTCCGGTCAAGCCCGCCTACTCTGCCACCGCACGGGATGAAAGTTGGGAGGGTGTCGGTGTGGACTGGAGTAGAATGAAACTTGGGTGTCAAAGGCAAGGGAGGTGGAGCGGCACATGCACTAGGGGTATTCAAAGTTAAGAAACAAGACTTTTACGTAAATACAACAAATTAAGCCTTGCATTAGCGTGTATGAGAGATTTAGGAAATAGTGTAAGCAGATCATACGTAGTATATTTGAGAGCTCCGAAATGAAACAAGAAACAGGATAATTGTTAGATTAGGATAAATTAGTATGAAATAAATTGAAAAATTAGGTTTAAGGCGATGGACTTGAAATCATCCCATAAGAAAATCAACAAATACTACAATCATGATAACCTATCTTTTCTTATCTACAAGAGAATACAACTTAAATGGCAACGGAGCACTCAGTTTGGACGGCCGCAGAAACAGAACAGCTGGTAGGTTGGCTGGAAGAACCTGAAAATCTTCGAAAGATAAAAAAAGGTTCCGGAGTTACAAAGAAGCAAGTTGTTAGCAAGATTGCTGCCAGGATTCCTACAAAACCTTTAGTAAAGGTTGGATACAAATACAGCAATTTGCTAAAGTCATATCGAGAGGCAGTGAATCTAAATAGTCAATCAGGATGGGGGTTGACAGCAAGCGATTTAGATGAGGGTAAAAGGTCATTAAGAGGTATGTAAATATACTTGGTTTCTATTACAAATAAAAACTATATTGTACAGAAATTATATATGAAAAATAATACTAATAATATAAAAATACAAAAATATGAGCAGAAAAACTACTCTCTCGATGCGCATATTTTTTCCGCCTGGATGCAATTCCAGGAGACCGGCCAAATGTACGTCCTCCAGTCCAATTCAATTCTGGCTCCCATCCACAAGATATAGCAAAGTCAGTTGAGAACCTAATCTCTGCAATGGAGCAAGGAGGGGCGGAGAGGAGAAGTGTAGGAGAGGAGGAAAGAGATTTGGAAGAAGAAAGAAGGGAGATGATCAGAGGAGAGGGAAGTGAAAGGAGGACAAAAGCGTTAAAAGAAGGAGAAGTAGGAATCAGAAAAGAGCTCAGCTTTGAAGAGGAAATAGGAGGAGATAAGGAAGGAGGTTCTATTTATCTATCACAAGAGTCAGCAATGGTTATGGGTGAAAATGAGTATATGATAGAACCAGATGAAACAGGTAATGGAAGAAATGATATTACAGAAAGTCAGGAAGGTTAGTACTAGACCTGATTTCGATAAAGTTAATACTAACTATCAGTATAAAAAAATATAAAGAAATAGGAGAACAACTATCGGATGATATAGGATATGGGGAGGAAATCGGAGGAGGAAGAAAGGCTGGAAGCACACGAAAGAGGGGTACCGGGGGAGTCGGTGAA